AAAAGCCTTTGATCCTTGATAGGACCTCCAATATAAAACATTGGTAGGTGATAATGATCACCTGCCTTGTTTGGTTTTATTGATTGGAAAGCAAATTACAGAAGTGAAGACAAAAATACAAGTACGAGTGTTTCAGTAGCTCTAGTTGTTTGTGCCGTGTGAATTTTACATGTGTATTTATAGTCTAATCTAAATAAATAAAAGTATGATATTCTCGGGATCCTCTTGAACAAGTATTCGCACGTTGCTTTGACTTGGTATTTCTAAGTCTTAAACCAATTCAAAATAATTCTTCGGAATAGATGAAGCTTTTGTTGACCAATTCTGCACAAATGAAGAATTAACAAGAAATATAACCGTCAATCATGTTAGGAAATAATGATAATAGTCAGGATCCTGGTGTATGTTTCGGGATCCTTAAAATCTTTTAAGACACAGGATCCTAAATAGGGTTCAGGATCTTAACCCCTAACACTTGTGACCTCGGCGATCAACAAAATTGCCAATTTTATTGGAACCATCCATTCAAACTAACACAAACATGAAAAAACAAGCTCACTTTCTAGATCTAGATGGAATGAATAAAAAAGGTGAGGACTTGGAGATTTATAAAAGTCCAGAATATGCATAAGGAGGTGGAGATGAGGTTGTTTGATGACTTATTGCTCTACAAAGTTTCTCTTCTTCCTCCATAGGCCTTAAACACCTAGGTTTTGTTTCTCTACTCGTGAAGACGATGGAGGCTGAAGGTAGACGAAACCCTAACCATTACATCCCTTAAATAGGGCACAAGGCTCAAGATCTAGGGTTTTGAGCCCCAGTCGCCACCATGCCGTGGAATAAAATGACCACCATGCCATGGTGTTTAAATGACCACCACACCATGGTCTAAGCCCTACCACGTCGTGGTTACAGGAAAATCCCCAAACCATAATATTCCAAAGCACAAAACTTATATCTGAAAAACTGTGTTATAGACTAAAAGATATAAAGTAACATAAAAAGACATTTAGAATAATATGTGTTTTATAATTACTTAAGGGTATATTTGAAAAAAAAATTAAAAAAAATCCTAAAAAGTTAGTTTAAGTAGTTTTTTAGAAAGCTAACTTATAAGATATTTTTTGGCATCTCAAACATTACAACTTAAAAAACTAGAAAAATAAGTTAGTTGTAACAATTTTCAGTAAAATATGATATTTTCACACGTTTTTCTATCGATATGCAATATCTTAGTAAAATATCACATTTTCGCGGGGATACTTACGAAAATACAATTTCTTATAAGCATTTGCAAAAAATATGATTATTTATATTTATTTGTTTGCTTATATTTTGAAAAACACTTATAAAACCTCAGAGAAATTTGAAATTTTCTAATAATTAAAAAAACACAAATCATCTCCTTAAGAAAAAAAATTATGGGTCTCACTAAAATAAAAAGCTATAAAAATAGGTTTAAAATGCCTATGGAAATAAGTTTAATATTAGTAGAATAATAATAATAATAATAATAACTTTATGTAAGAGATTTTAAGTTTATAAATTAAAGTGAAAAATGTTCGACAATAACTTTTTCTTTTATTACTTTTATTTTTGAACGGCTAAATGATTTCACAGAAATTCTTGATCCAAAGAGCTCCTAATAAGATGTTTGAAGTACACATTTATGAAATATCAATTCTTTTCTCCAAAAAATCTCTTTTAAATTTATTTAAATCTAAGAAGATATAACATATGGATTTGCGATGTCTATATTTTCCTTTTTCCCACATATGTGGAATAGTTTCAATCTTTCGTTATGCGTTGACATGTACTATATAACATAAACAATATATGTTTTTAAATTTGTCAAGCACCGACTATACAACTTTTTTTTTTTTCTTTTTTTTTTTTCAAATTCGTAACACACCAAGCCTTTCATCGTGAGGTTCAAATCAAGTGTGAGAACGAACATGCCACGCCATATGTAGAAATTAGAAAAATAATGATTATTTTATATTTAATATTTGTATTAGATTCATTCGGGGACCATTAAAGATTTTGGGGCTTTTATTATTTATTTATAGCCAATAAAATACAACCCTTGAAATACTCAAATGGTCGGGTCGACTTATGTCCTAAACTCAAAATAACATAATACTTTAACAAAAAAAAAAAAAAACTAATATAACTTTATTAAGATTTTAATATTATTATTCAGATGACAGACAAATCTATATGTTTGTATTTAAAATAAACGATAATAATTGGTTTTACACCAAACCCACCTGTGGTGAATGGGATTATAACTGTATAAGTATAAGTAACGTACTCTTTTTTGTGTCGGCAACTATGAACAGTGTCACACATATGTTAGATATATATTTCTATTTAATTTGGTTATTTATTGATTATAAAAACGGCACAATTCCACTAAAATATCAAGCGCAGGGCTCCACCAAATAAATATTTTTAATTTTAGATCGAATAGGAAAAAGGTAATCTTAAATCTTAAGTGAGGGATGTCACTGTACGTTCTTATTTACGGATCCTGCATTTAATAGGAAACGCCGAAAGAGATAGATCGTTAGTGTTTTTAAATGGAAGAAAATATTTAAATCTAATATCTTACTTTTTCACTAAGTAAATATTTACCGTTCAAAATAAATAAATATTTAACTCTTTATCGCTAAATATTAAAATGTAGGGTAAATTATATCAATCCCCGTACATATGTCATTTTATGTTTTTTTTTTTTTTTTTTTTTTTTTTTTTTTTTTTTTTTTTTTAAATGAACTTGGATCGTCCTTGAGTTTGTTTTTTTTTTTTGCATGCTTAGTCTCTAACTGTTAGTTGTCTCCGTTTAAGTGTCACAAGTGCCTTGCATGTAAGGGTATTTTCGTCCTTTTAAGTTTTATACCCTTTTTAAAGTCGTTGGACGCATAAACTCTCATCCCTCTTGTTATCATCTTCTTCCTTCAACCTCTCCCCTCGCCATCGAGTTCAATATCTCCCCTTACCAACGAATAATGGTGATACGATGCAAATGTGGAGTAGATGTTGTCATTCGTACTTCTTGGAGCAAGAGCAACCTTGGAAAACTTTATCATGCTTGTACAGTAAAGGTAAATTCAATTTATTTCTTCTTCTTTTTCTTTTCCAATTTTGCCATAATCCTGATAAGATTGAAATGCTTGGATGGGTGGATAAGTCTGATCAAACATGTGATTGTATGGAATTTAGGCTGAATGTTGAAGAAAAAAATCGCAGACTAAAGTTTTACCTAGCTATTAGTTGGTTTATTTTTGTTTCAATCCTTATATATAAGGTCTACGTTTAGTAATCAACTTGTTAGACATTGGGTATGCGTATTGCTTGGTTTTTTGTATTGTGTAGTTATGAAAAAACCTTCAAATGCAATGACAATTTCTTGATTTTGTATGAAGAAAATGTGGTGTTCAAATGTAATGAAAATATGTTTAGAATTACCATTTAATACAATATACCACAAATAGGCTTTAACATCCAAAATAACGACAAAGTTGTAAGGCCTACATGACCATTTACCATTAAATACCTTAAACATCCAAAAATAACTACATAGTCTTAAGCCATACACACAATTATCCTACAGCTACTTAAACCTTACCATATTGTATCAAATAACCAAACATAGCAACAAAGTATCAAGACAATGAATGCCTAACAAAATCAACATAACAACAAACTTTCAAATCGTGAGGCTTTTGCCCTTCTTCCCATCTCCTTTTTTGACACCTCCTTTCTTTCTACCTCCTGTACTGCCACCTGCTGCATTTCTACCTGCACTCCCAATTCTTGCACTAGTTTGTGATTAACCCTTGTAGTTCCTTCCATTATGCTCCATATTTCCACATTTTGAGCATGTTAGTGATTTTCATTTTGTTGACACTCTCTCAACATCATATTCTTTTGCAAATTTTCTTCTCTTCTTTTTTGCATGCCAATGAGGACATGATGCTTCAATGGTAGCAACTTGGTAGGACATGCATTTTTTTCCACATGAACCTCCAATTCATATGTTCAACTTTAAAGACATACATTTGTTTCCAAGTCTTCAGCATATATATATATATATATATAATATATATATATATAATATATATATATATATATATATATATATATATATGAAAATTGTGTTTTCATATATATACTATCGCTATGGGGAGTGGTTTCGGCATGCCCTCGACATTACTGATGTGGACTCGACAGACATCGAGACTTGACCTTGGTATGCTAAGTTAAGGCCTCCTCCACGACAACCAGCTGCCTAGCATTCTCTTCTTTGGCTTCTTCCCCCCCATTTATTCTCCCAAACGTGACATATCACCCCTTCTCTACCCCCTCTCTTTTTCCAGCAATTTATTTTATTTGTTGCAGTTTAGGTGGAGTGTGGTGAGCTCTACACTACTCTCCTTAGCCTACTAGCATAATATAGTCTTGTTGAAAAGAATATAATGCCCAAATTAATTCACTTCATAATAACTAACTGTACACCCGACAAACTACTCAGTACAACATAATTTTAGTTGCATGAAAATTATTGTAAAAAACAATATAAGAATATATAGCAAATTAATCAATCATTATATAATTTATGTGAAATCTATTTTATTGTATGAATTAAAAATAAAGAAAATATAATTTCCAAGTATTGTTAATTTGTTATTACTTATTAGTTACTATTATTTTATATGATGATGATTTATGTCCATATATATTTATTTGCGTGTAAAACAAAGTAGATGTGAAAAACGACCAAGTTCAATAAACTGTGCCCCTAATCAATGCTAAAATTGCTGCTTTGACTGTTTGACATTGAAAACAAACCGAACAATACGTCCAGACTTCAGGCCCAACCAGCCAACTTTCACACGGCGCCACCAAGTTTTATCACAACCCTACTTCCCTCTATAAATACCCACTTCCAAATAATAACCCAATGCATCACTTCCACTTGCTCTAACAAAATCAAAATGGAAACCAAAACACTCATCCTTATCGCCGTCTGCTGCCTCGCCGGAACCACAGCCTTCGCCGCCGTCAAACCCACTTCCAACTACATCAAATCTTCTTGCGCCACCGTCACCTACCCTGCTCTATGCGAACAGTCCCTTACCCCCTTCGCCAAAACCATCAAAAGCAGCCCATCTCAGTTAGCCCGTACGGCGTTGGCCGTGAGCTTCAAGCAATCTCAGTCGACTCAGGCTTACCTTAACAAGCTCAAGAGATTCAAAGGGTTGAAACCCCGTGAGAGATCCGCCATCGGAGACTGCTTAGAAGAAGTGAGTGACAGTTTGGACCGGGTCAGCAAATCCATCAATGAGCTCAAGACATGTGACCGGGTCAAGGGTCAGGAGTTCACATGGCATATGAGTAATGTCCAGACATGGGTTAGCTCTGCACTCACTGATGAGAACACTTGTATGGACGGGTTCGGGGGTCGGGCCATGGAGGGTCGGATCAAGACTTCGGTTGGGGCTCAGATCACGAGTGTTGCTCATGTTACTAGCAATGCTCTAGCCCTAGTTAACAGCTTTGCCCAGAAGAAACATTAGTGGATGATGACCGGGCCGGGTCTGGGTCCCAACTCCAAAGTGATGTTTTTTTTTTGTGTTATAAACTAAAGTAGTAGCCCATTTGGGTCGGATCTTGTTTAATATGGAAGATGTATAAATACTATATATATGTATACTTTTGTCTTTAACATAAATGTGGGCTTGTAAAATTATTAAGACTTTTTATTTACATCATGATTATGTACTTAGATTTAAAATATAATGTGCAATAGTTATAATTTCCGAATGGGCCAATTTTCAATTTTGGACGAATTCATCTACTTGGGAGTCGTTTCAAATTTCAATTAATGCTTTTAACAGTATTCCTATTTTGTATTTGTATTCGTATCAGATCTAAAACACGGGCTAAAAGTTAGTATATTTTAGTACTTTATTCTTAATGATTCTTGTTGTCCCATGCTCGCAGCTTTTTCTTTGGGTTTAGATACTATACGATACCTTTCTATCGATTAAGAATTATTATTATATAATATTTTTATTTTATTTTCATTTAAATAAGATACCGGGTATGTCAAAAATATTTACGAAATAGAAAACGCTTGATGTTGTAAAATGTGTAAATAAAATATGATATTTTAGCAAAATAATTTGTGTGTTAGTGTTAGTGTTACAAATAAATAAAATTAGAAGACAAACCGCGGTCTACTAGAAAACAGGATTAGGAGGAGTGGGACGGTGTGACTGCGAATTAAAAAAAAGGCAGCGGAGACAATAGTGGGACCAAAAAACACGTGACTGGCGATGTGTGGCCCACCCATGTGATGTGCATAAATTGTTAGCCTTTTACAGCATTTTCAGTCCAAAAAACATGGCCTGTCATTACGGTGTTAACTACTTCTTTGAAAAAAATTGATTCTTCATTTAATTTTCAAGATTCTACATTTTAAGGGTATTTTAGTCTTTTACTAATTTTTTTTTGGCAAATTGGTAATGGATGGATGTGTCTATTTTGGAATTTTGGTGGCGGAGCAAAGCCGTATGGCGTATGATGTTATGATTAGCAAATATTAGAAGAAGATGACGGGTCTTTATGCATTATTGTTTATTTAGAGATAGTAACATACGATATGATGTGATTTTTGACAAGTTTATTCTCTGGGTACCTTTCAATCTATCATTTGTAAAATCCAAAACGATAACTTTTTATGGGTAGTTTTAGTGTCATTTATTGTCCGATAACTAATTTTCTTGTAATTGCTTTTTGTCAGCTCTGACTCCTAATTGATACCTTCACGGCTTTGCAAGATGAAGAGTATTGAGTCTTGATTATTATTATTATTATTATTATTATTATTATTATTTTTTTTTTTTTTTTTTTTTTTTTTTTTTTTTTAAAACGGCAAATATATTAAAAAGGAAACGAACCCACGACTAGCAAGTAACTAGCGAGGGAACACGGGCTACAAAACAATAGCAAAACAGAAATTGGGAAAAAATGCTATAGGGCGTGGAAAGGAGAGTGCTTCCAATCCATCCGCTTACAAATATCACAATTTCCTCTACATTTTATCCAAAAATACACCATAGATTTCACATTTTTTGCACCAATCGTCGGGCTGATAAAAGTACCATTGAACACTCTTTCATTCCGATTCTTCCACAGATTCCATACTAAGCCATAGCAAATAGAAATGAATCGTTTCCTCATCCTCGGACATCTGCCCCAAGTTTCCGCGAATCTGATCAAGTCAATAACATTGTTAAAGGATTTGTGTTGTATGCCACACCATGTGAAGACTTTCTCTCGAACAGCATTTGCAAATGGACAGAGCATCAGAAGATGATCCGCACATTCTATTCCATTAATGCATGCACCACAACTTGTAGAAGAAATGTCTATCCCCCTTGATTTTAGAGCCACCGCAGATGGGATTTTGTTTTGTAGTGCGCGCCATATGAAACAGTTGACTTTTAACGGTACTAGCTTATTCCATGTGAATCTTGGGAGAATGATATTAAGGTGTGACTGATGTTCAATCTTTTTCCTAAGAGCACTTAACGTGTATGATCCGTTACTGTCAAGTGAGCATCGCCATTGATCTTCGCCAGACACTAAGTGCACCGATGATATATCTTGATGTAAATTGACAAGTTGTTGAGATATAGCTTGATCATCCATGCTTGATTTCCAGTGGCCTACAAAACTTCCATCAATAATCATGTCTGCCACATAGCATTTTTTTCTAGATTCTTGCTCATACAAGTCCATAAATTTTTCTTTCAGAGTTTCCTGTCCTAGCCATTTGTCAAACCAGAACAGTGAGTTGTCTCCAGATTTGATCTTTAGTTTAAAAACCTCACCAATGGCTATCGATTGTTTCTTTAACTCTTTCTTGACCGAAGCGATGTTATTCCACACTCCACTGATATTTCTATTTGACAAATAATCGTGTGGTGTATTGAGTAGGTTATGTATACCTTTTATCGTTTTACTCCAAAGCGATTCTTTCTCATTTTTTAGACGCCACCACCACTTGACAAGTAAACTGGTATTTAATGCACGAATAGATCCCACACCGAGACCTCCTTCTCTTTTGGGGGCAACAACTTTGTCCCAAGAAACCCAATTAATTCTTCTTTTGTTTTCATCACTCCCCCATAAGAACCTTCGTCTAATTTTTTCTAGTGACTCCGTGACTGTACTCGGTGCCAAAAAGAGAGAGAAGAAGTACGTAGGAAGGTTACTTAACACCGAAGTAAGTAATGTCAGCCTTCCTCCAAATGAGAGTGTTTTAGATTTCCAGTATTGAGTCTTGATGGTATGAGTTTTCATTGTCGAAGTTTATAAGTTTGGATTTTGAGATTTCATATCAATTCAAAAACCTATTCCATGTGATATATTTGATATTGGAATATTAATCCACATAAATTTGCTTTATTAAAAAAAACAAGAGTAAACTAAATTGCAAGTTTAGTCAAAATTTTAAAATCATTCTATTTGAGTATATGGGTTAGGGATCCTATTCTGTTATATATTAGGTATAAAACCCATACATTAAATGAGTTAATTAAAAAAAAAAAAATATAAAAGTCTAAATATTTAAGAACCTTGGATTTATAAGAAAATAAGAAAAATAATGAATTATTAAAATTATTTTTTTATCTTTTAAATTTAAATAAATAAACAAAATAAACTAATGAGCTTTAATTTGGGAATTTTGAAATAATAAGGTAAATCTATTAATAAAATTGATATTCATTTATTACTACATTTATTGTAATTATTACATTAAAGTATTATGTAGAATTTATTAAAATAGAAAAACCCATAAAATGACATGTTGAAAAGAAATTAATTCAAAATAACCACAAAATGACATTTGGCAAAATGAGAGTATGACATGTGACAAAAAAACCCTTCATTCATTAGAGTAGATTTAGACTAGATTTAAAATTTTAAATAAAAGAAAATAACCCGATTTGTAATTTACTTATTAGAAGATGATAGTATTTAAATTAGTAAAGTTATTAAATATAATATGTAATATTGAGATGAAATACAAAAAATAGGAGGTACTATTATCATTTTATTTATTTACTATTTTATAACCCGTGGGAACCATGGTTATAAAATTTATTAAATTTTTATAATTAAAATTTATAATTATTAATCAATTATTTTAAATGAGTCATTTTAAATCAATTATTAATTAAGAGATATATCAAATTTTTAAAGTTATTATAACTTCAAATTTAACATATAATTAGAAAATGTAAATTTGAATTTTAAAATGAGTTGCCTAATATATCTACATGACACATGGCCTAATATTAATGAGGAGTTGTATTAGAGTGACACTTGACAAAAGAAGATTAAAACTATTCATTTATTAGAATAGAGATTCAATTTATATTTTGTAGTAATGGGAAATTTGTAAATTTGGGGTAAATGTTGTTTGCTGATTTTTAGGGGTCGTTTAATCACTTTCAAAATTATAAATATTGTCGGTTTTTCTTTATTTTTTATTGTGGATTTGGTTCATCCACTTAATCCTATTAAAAGACGTTTACTAACTCATTCCACGTTAGGGGTGTAATCGAGCTGAATCGAGTCGAGCACTGTCAAACTCGAAATTCGACTGGACTAAATAACTCGAGCTCAAAACTCGACACGAACTCGACTCGAGCCTTAATTTTAAACTTGAGCTCGAGCTCGATAAGGTAATCGACACTTTCGAGTTCGGATTTACTCCACTCGATTAACTGTTAAGAAAATAAAATTACATTAAATTACAATATAAATGTGATTAAGCTCGTGAGCCCGACTCGACTCGACTCTATAATATGTACATAAAAAAACAAAACAAAGCGTAAATGTGTAAATATATCAATGCTCGATTAAGCTCGTAAGCTTCATGAGCCGAGTATTCCAATACTCAAGCTCGGCTCGATAATGTACTCGGGTAGCTCGAGCTCGATCTCAACTCGACTTGAGCCGAGTTGATTTCGAGTCGGTCTCGAGTAGCTCATGAGTTGGCTCGACTCAGTTACACCCCTACCCCACATGTCCCTTACATGAGGGTAAATCAACATTTCATGTTGGTCTCGGCTCCATATCATTAGTTTCATAACGGAAATAGATTGCAACCTACACTCGATATTCCCCTTATTTTTCACTTGCCTATTTATCTTCTTTATATTTCATTCTCATTTGTTAACCCCTAAAAAACCTTAAACATAAACACAATTTCATCATTGACTCTACATTATTTTTAAGACGGTGTTTCAAATGTGGACAATCTGACCGATGAACCAATATTTTGATACCAAAGTCATATATGGTGTTAGGGCTAGGATCTCGGAACTACATTGAGATCCTGAAGTCTAAGGATCCTCAAAGGCTCAGGATGCTCGAAGCTCAGGATCCCGAATATACTCCAGGATCCTGACTAATATTTTTATTATTATTTATAATGGACATATATATATATATATATATATATATATATATATATATATATATATATATATATATATAT